CTATGTGAAAATCAATTAGACTTACAGTTTTTCAAAAATCAAAGGATTTTGTTTTAAATGTTGAATTCTCTGTTCAAACAAAATCTTCCAGAACATAGGGATAAAGATTACACTGATGCAAACCCCAAGTGTAAATCCATTGATATCATTCCATCATCTTTACCAGCCACTGCTTTTTAGTCCAGAAAGTCACTGAATGTGGGGAGAGGTACCCCTGGTCTGGTGTGCACAGGAAATATTCTGGAAAACTCTGGAAACCACAATTACAGGGAACCACTGAGCTCAGGATTGGATGCTCCGTGGGGACAGGGAATGTTCATTTTGAATCCTTTACAACTGATGGTCAGTGTTCACCTTAATTTCAGCACTGCTTTCCCTACCTCTGTTATTGCAATTGAATATTTGTGGCCTTCTAAGTTGCCCTCACAGCTGATTTTGGCTTATAAGAATTGTCAGAGCTATAATAGATGTTGAGTGAATGTCTGTTAACTTAGTATAGTTTTCCCAGAAAATTTGGGAATAGGACAGGTAGACACTTTTTGTTCTTTTCATCTGAGGCAGACCTTTCCCATTTCACAGTGTCTCCCTCTCATTTTTCTTCACAGTATTCCAGTCAGTGGGAGAAGACAGATATTTTAATTCTTATTTTAGAGATGGGGAGACTGAGGACTAGACTTCTCTATTAACTTGCCTCTTGTTGAATAGGCAGTTTAAACCAAGTCTGGGACTGGCTTCCATGGGCATTGTTGTGGCTTGTATCTAGATGTCTCCCCAAAGCTTCATGTAGTCATAGGTGAGGCTTACCAGAGATGGCTGGATCTAGGTTGAGTGATACCGGGATCAAGGATCTCATGCTGGCATTGATTTCACTGATGCTAGGATTAAGTGTGTGAGTGCTGCCTGCTCTAAGCTTAGCCTGAATAAGATATAAGGGACAGGAAGAGCTGCTGTGTTCACTGCTGGTCACTTGTCACTTGTCAATTGTTGCTTGCTGGCTTGCTGCTCTTGCTTTCTTCTGCCTGCCATGAACCGTTTCTCCTTTGGGATGCCCCTCTGCCATAATACCCTGCCTTGGAGCCAGCCAATTATGGACTGAAACCTCTACACACTGTAAGCTGCAATAAACCTTTCCTTCTTTAACTTCGGGTGTAAGGTATTTTGTCTCAGCACTGAGAAAGGTAACTAAGACAGATATATTTATAATGGTTGGTTTTCCTTAAGCAAGAAAGAGAGATCTTTTCTCAGGAGAGTACATTGCAACAAACCCTTATATAAATGTGCTCTATTTAGCAGACAACTGGTAATATATGATTAAAATATAGCCTCATGATTTTGTTGAGCAACAAACACAGTCTTATGCTTTATTTGAAAGATTATAATCTTTACCACCAGTTAATGTTATTTTATACACTTTGGGTTCCTTGCCCCTTTTCAAAGTGCTGCTTGGAATCTTCATCATCAGTGGTATTTACATAGTGCATTGCCATTCATTCTCATCAAGCTGACTCTCTGGAGAAGATACTAATAAGCTTCCCTTGTAACTAAACGCCACAATTTTCTCTCCAGGATCTATTGAAGAATGGACCTCCTCGGAAAAGTACAACGTTTAATGTATTAAATTACACCATGGCTCAGACTTTTCTAGATAACCTCAGAAGGGCACCAGTTCCTATTCTTTAGTGACTGTCATGGGAATGTGCATGTTATGACCCAAACCACAAAAGAAGTCCCTCTGGAACTCATCCCAGATTTGGGTCCTTATATCATAAGAATGTGTTTATTTATGGACAATGATTATGTGAAAATTTCTGTTGAAAGACAGCAAATTCTAATCATTGCCTCCCTCTCAAGCATCTCTCCTCAATCTGAGCATAATTTCTTTCAGTTCTGATCAGGATGTGTGATGCATAGTTAATGGGCTTCCCACTGCCATCTGGCAGGCTGTGTGAGTTCACGGGCTCACATTACAGAAGAAGCAGGACCGCAAGCCAGATTTAAAGTAAAAGTGGGCTTCCAGGCAGCAGTACCTGTTGAAAGTGAACTCTTAGGTAGCTACGTTCATTCTTTCTGATGGAATTACCACCTTTAAGAGTGAGTAAATATCTGTAGTTTGTCAAATGGAGCCTTTAGTTGGACTGACCAAGATAAATCTTAATTTCCAAATTGTTTACTTACCCAAAAAAAGTTTGTTTATTTATAGCATTTCAAACTTTTATTTAGTTTGAATCTCTCTTTGTTTACAAATTTTATAATATATTTTAGTGGAATTCAGATGTTAGATTCTGCAGACTTTTCTGTTCGTAAGAAGATGCTCATATATAGTAATTGAAATTCAAATTTTGGCTCATATTTGTTCATTGTAGGAAAATATCTTTATTGATCTGCTTGAAACTATTGTTCTTGCCATTAGTTCTTCACCTCACAGTAGGTCAGGGGAGTGCTTCAAAGTAAAATATCCAGCATATGAGGACACTGGAAGACACAGTTATTTTAAGGATAATTTATTATCTTAATATTTCTTCTGTGAAATATTTTTTTCTCAAACAAGTACTCACTGCCATGTCTTTTGCACACAATCCCATTCCCAGGTTGGAAATTTTCTCAGCATCATATTCAAATATGTAAGTTCATAATATACTGTATTAGTTATTCTTGTGATTGTAAGCCACAGAAGCCAAGTTTAATTTTCTTTAGAATAGCAACTCTATTTCATTGCTTTTAAAATTTGCATTAAATTTATTTTCAATATTTCTGAGATAGAATATGTCTAAGAATTGGTAGCACATCATAGCTCAATTGAAAGTGTATTTTACATAAAAGACATACATAGCTTAACATCTTTGAATTAGTAATGTCTTAAACTTGATCAGATAGAGTAAATTGCAGAAGGGATGTCATACGGCTGGGTATCAGGTACTATTGCACAAGAAGCTCAAAATTGCTAAAACTCTCTGTCTCTGACTGTGGCTTCAATAATTTGGGTTGGCTTTATGACTTTTTCACTGGGGATGCTTCCTCTATGTATTTAAGAGACAGACCTACCAATAGCTCTTTGTTTCATAGTTTGTGGGTCCCGGTACTGAATCACAAGTCTACCACTGAAGGAAGTTATTTTCTTAGGTTGGGTTAGGTGTCCACCTCTAGATCAGTGTAATCGTATTTGGCCAGAAAAATGTAGTCATGTGAGAGCTATAAAGAATATAAATGGGGGCTGGGTGTATAGCTCCGTAACAGAATGCTTGCCTTGCATGTGTGAGGCCCTGGGATTATTCTCCAACACTGCAGGGAAAAAAGGATAAATGACAAAGACAAGTCCTACAACAGTAGTATGAATGAGAGTGATGCTGGTGGACTGTACTTCTCCAAAGAAATAAAATCAATAATTCAGGGTAAACAATGCTACTGTTGTCTCTACCGTCATATCTATATTCACATGTTATCATCTATCTTGGTTGATATGCCTAAACTATGCCTAAACTTCAGGACAAGTTACAGGAGGGCTAATTCAGGAAAAATAAAGATACCAGGGGGGGGGGAAATAAGCTTACTTGTAGCAGAATCTGCCTTTTGTGTAGCACTCAAGAAAGTTAAGTATACGTTTTAGATTCCTTTGCAAGTAGCTTCCACTAGAAACTTGGAATGCAAAGTGAACCATATGAGATGGCAGCACATGAGGAGACAGGGTCTCTAGGTGGAGCTAACCAGCCTTCTGGCCCAGCTGTGATGGTAGCACAGTTTTCTAACATCACATCCAGTGGTCTCAGCAGCAGCTTACAGATTTTCTGGTGTTAAACAGGTTTTTCTGTGCGTGGATGTTCCTCCTAGTGGCATTGTATCTGGCTATGTGACATTGAGACTTAATTCTTGACCCCTTAGGAACTCTATAAGTTTTGATAGCAATGATAAATCCATTTCTGTTGAAAGTAGCTAGAGTGGATTCTGCTTTCTGCAAGTCAGGTCCCTAACCTACACACTTTCTCTGATAGTAAGAACACTTACTCATGAAAAGTACATTCATGTTTTTGAAATGTGAATCATTGGATCATTTGGAGAAGGTTGCTTTCTAATATTTTATCTTTGATATCCACTTTAGAGATCACACAGTAAGTTCACCTACATTATTTCATGAGAGACTGACAAAAATGTAGATCTCCCTATTATAGGTGCAGGTATGGAGGAGTAGATACACCCTTTAAGAAACACCTGGTTAAGAACGTGCTGGAGAATCCAACATACTAATCCATGACTTGCGTCAAGTTATTTGACTTCTGTATGTTTTGGTTCAAATATGTAAAATGGAGCTAAAAATACCTAGTATAAAGGATTGTTTAAAGGATTAGACAAATCAATCCATGCAGAAAATTTAGAAAGTTGCCTCAAATACAGTAAAATTAATCAGCACTTGATATCATTATCATTAACATTGCTAGGGGCATAAATTGGTATCTACTCTTTGATGAGCAATTTGGCATTATCTACCAAAGTGTCTATATACTTTGGCTCATCAATCACAGTTTGTATCTAACCTATGGAAATGTACTTGCTGAAATGTCCATTAGTAGATAAATAGTTTAAAAGATTATATCATTATATTAGTCACTGTCTTAACCCTGGAAAAAATATGTGACACCTGCAACATAAAAGAGGAGAGACTTATTTTGTCTCACATTTTCATTCGATTCAGTTAATGGTCAGCTGGTTCCAAGGCAAAAACAGCATGGAAGAACAGGATGGCACAATAGCAAGGCAAAGGAAAGCTGTTCACTGCATGGCAACCAGAAAGCAGAGAGAGTAGAAAGGAACCAGAGTTAAGAATACACTGAGTGATGGCCTGCCTGTCAAGCCCCATCTCAGAATGTGAGATTTGGGGGGGGGCTTAGATCTAAGTAATAACATTCTGCCCCTAGCCCTCAAAAGGCTCATGTCCATGCCATCTGCAAAAAGCATTTGGTCCATTTCCAAGAGTCATCAAAGTCTTAATAGTTCAGTATTGCTGAAATGTCGTAGTCCGAAGTCTCTTCTGAGACTCAATGCAAATTTTTAGCTGTAAGCCCCTGTCAAAATAAAATAGAAAGTTAAGCACTTTCAACATACAATGGCACAGAGTAAACATTCCTATTCCAAAAGAGAGGGATAGGAGAATAGAGAGTAATCAGATCAAAGCAAGCCTGAAAGAAACCCTACAGAGAAAACGTTAAATCCTATAGCTGCATGATCAGCACCCAGGGCAGGTTGTGGGGAACAGTAAACTTCAAAGCGCTTGGGCAGCCCACTCCTATAGTATTGCCATTTGCAGTGCACATGGCCTCTGTCTTGGGTTGGTTCTACTTACTGCCTGCAACCTTCTTCAGCAGATGTTCCATATTCTTGGCATCTATAACTTCCTGAGACCTGCAATGCACCTGTATCTTTACTATCTCAGCTTCATACTGCCCTCTTGGAGCACACAGCCTGGCCTCCCAGGCCTTCTTCCGAAATCTGGATGGAAGATTCCGAGACCTCACAACTCTTACATTCTGCATGCTGGAAAAAAATAGCACCAACGGGTGATGCGAATGTGTGTGCTGCTACCTCCTACAGTAGCTGGATCTGCTTGGACCAGGGCTGCAGCAACCTCTGAGTGCCTAGCTAGCTGAGAACTATAAAATGAATCCTGGGGTACCAATTCCTTAGGTGACCTTCTGGAGCAGAGTACCCTGGGGCTTTCTTCTCAAAACAAAAAATCTTTCAAATGAAGTTATCTTTAGCCTTTTAAATCCTTGAGTCTGTGAATGGTAGGATTTGACCAATTCCTGAGATGCCCTCAAGCCTTCTTTCTCACTATTCTGATGCAATATACTTGGTTTTCTATGCTAATCTTTTCAGCAATCATGCTCTTCTTTACCCTAACTTTTCAGGTCCTTCCTCTCTGGCAAAACTGCTAACTTCTCAAATAAGTTGCTCTGCTATTTGCTCCTGATTCTCACTGTAGATCTAGCTAAATGCAGGCAGTAGTATTCATCCAACAGCATGAACTTTGGGTTGTCTTGAAATTTTCTCCACCAAATCAATTAGTCTGCCATCTTTAAACTTAGCTTCACACAAAGTCTTAGGATATGAACCAAATTCTTTACTGGAAGGAAACATGCATGGTCTTGAGTCCAGTTTCCAACAGAGTTCTCATTTTCATCTGAAATCACCTTTATTTCCACATGCCTATCAGAATTATGATCTTCTGAGCTGTGACCAGAATCCCACATCAAGCTTAGCTTACAACATTCTGGGGCTTCTCTCACTAACATCTCCAAACTTTCCAAACTCTTTCCACAAACTAGTTCCAAAAGCTTCTAAACCACATGGCCAGGTACTTTCACAGTAATGATCCCACTCTTAGTACCAATTTTCTGTATTAGCTTTCTTCTTGTCAGGACAAAATACCCAAAACAACAGCTTAAAGGAGGCTTGCAGTTTCAGTGAGTTTAGTCTACGATTGGCCATCTCCAAGACAGAAACACTATGGTGGAAGGACCTGGTAAGGGACAGCTACTCATATCATAGTAACCAGGAAGCAGTAATTGAAGGGAGTATTCAGGGAAAAAGATATGCACTCCAAAGGCAACCCCACCAAATCTCTTCCCACCAGGCCCCACCTCCAAATGCAAGACATTGGGAGAATATTTTGATCTAAACCATAGCAATTATATGTTAGAATACTGTGGCAGCCAATAAAAAGAAAAATATAAATCCATATGTTCTGTCATGAAAATATCACCCATATGTAGTTCATTTAGTCAACAAGTATTTATTGAGGATTTAGTGTGTATTCACTGTTACAAGAGCTGAAAATTAAAACTATTACATTGTGGAATAGTTTGCGAAGTATACTCTGTTGAGTGCTGAACAGTGATCTCTACCTGTGCACAGCTGTGTACTGGGCTGTGTTCTCTGCCCAGGCAGATTTCCTTAATTTGTCTAAAATGCATCCTGGGGTTTGCTTTCTCACCACCACCTTCTTATATATCCTGGATCCACTTTGTATCTTAGAGACATATGAATGACTGAAGCAGAAACAATCATATCTGTCAGATAACACTAATCACCTCTGCTGGAGTCAGAAGAACAGTTAAGGTGCTCTCCTTGTTCAAATGGCTGGTGGGCCCTCTGCAGACATTGCCTTGGCCCTTGGTGGCTTTCTGGTGTTTCAGAGAAGGAAAGTGACAGTTTCTTCCGCTATTGTTTTGGGTGCTTCCAGTCCTGCCCCAGATCCTGAGCCCCATAGGGCCCTCTTTCATGTCCTGTCCCATCCCACCTATCATTCTCTTCTTCTCAGATGCCTGTGGCAAGGAAGTGGGGCTATTTGTCTATTTATATCCAAACTACTGTTGATGCCATACCTTTTATCCCTAAATATTTCAGGGCTTTAATTTGGATGTATAACACGAAGATTTGTAAATGAAAATATTTTTATTTCTACCAAAGCTTAGTCTTTGGAATCCAAAGCTTTTGATTTTAATTGCTGAGTTACTTTTCTATCACTGCTATACCCAAAATTCAAGGAGAAGGGTTTATTTGGCTTACAGTTAGTAGAGGTATCAGTCAATAATTGGCTGGCTCCAAGGCAGAGTGGCAGGGGGGCAACAGTTCATGATGGCAGAAGACAGCAAAAGCAACAAGAGAATTTAACAGTGTCTTTCTGCTCCTTTTGTCTTTTATTCAGACTACTGGGTCTAGGGCAGTGCCTAACCAATTACTCAGGTGTGGTGGTTTAGTAACCACATGCCCTTAATCCCAGCATCACACATTCCAGATTCAGCCACCTCTGAAAAAGAAAGCCCCACCTCATCAGCATGAGGCTTTGAGGGGATCTCTAAACACAAAGCATAACATTCCATCCCTGGTTTCCCAATGACTTACGCACATACCTTTGTGCAAAATATCACTTAGTGCATCTCTAAGAGATGCCAAAGTCCTAATAGTTTCAGGATTGCTGAAAAATCCAAGTTCCTAGTCTCCTCTGAGATTTAAGGCAAACTCTTAGCTGTGAGCCCCTGTACATAGGAAAAGAAAGTTAAACACTTCCAGCACACAATGGCACAAGATAAACGTTACCATTCCAAAAGAAGCAAATAGGGAGATAGCAAGGAATGGGACCAAGGGGAGTCCAAACTCCAGCAGGACAAATATAAAGTCCTACAGTTCCATGGATAGCATCTGAGACAGTCTGGTGAAATGTGAAAGGCTTAGATGGCTCTGCCCGTGTGGCACTTCTGGTGGTGGTAGATCCCATAGCTTCCTTCTTGGTCAGGCTCTGCTCCCTCTTTGCAGTTTTCCTCAGATGATCCTTACTTCTTCAAACTTGGGGGGCCTCTACTGCACCTTCAGCTTCACACTCACACCTTCACACACTAGCCTCTCAGGGACACACTGTCTCACCTCCCAGGCTTTTTTCTGAACTCTTGGTGGAAGCCTTCCTGACCCCACAACTCTTGCATTTTGCACGCACCTAAAACCAGCATGATGTAGTTGATGCTCAGGTTTGCTGCCAGCAGGAGCAGTAGCCAGACTTCCTTCTCTCTTGACTTTAGGGATAGAGTACCTGAATCACTGAGCACTCTGAACCCCATCCCAAGGAACAAATTCTCTAGGCAGCTACCATTTTGGAACATGGTGCCCTGGTACTCTCTTCTCGAAGCAAACTCTTTCACTTTTGCAATTTTGAGGCCACAAAGGGTGGAGTTCTGCTGCTTCTTGTAGTGCCCTCAAGCCTTCTATTCTATTTTCTTGTTCCTTCTCAGCAATAAAGATCTCCTCTGCTCTATCTTTGCAATCTACAGTATTACTGGAGTTTTCTTTCCGGCCAAACTCAAAACATTTTTAAACCATTCTGCTGGTCTTTTTGTTCTTGATTCTCAACATAGATTGGCTAAAAGCTCCAACAGCAGTCATGCCACAGCCTCAACATTAGACTGCCTTGAAATTTCTTCTGCCAGATTTATTAGCCTACTGCCTTTAATCTTAGTGTCAAGCAAAGCCTCTGGACATGAGCCAAATGCAGGCAAAATTTCTGCCAAGGCATAACTCTGGAGTCCAGTAGCCATTGCAGCCCTTCTTCCCAGCAGAGACTTCCCAAGCCTGGTCTTTACCAGCTTTCTGGTCTTCTGAGCTCTGACCAGAATCTCCCACACAGAACGGTCTAAGGCATTCCATCTCTACTGCTTCAGCAGGCATCTGCAAATCTTGCCTGACTCTCCCCCTTCCTGCAAGCCAGTTCCAAAGACTTTTGAGCCACATGGCCAGGTGATGTCACAGCACTGACCCCACTTCTCTGGTACCAAATTTCAGTGTTAGTTACTTTTCACTTGTGGCTGAGACAAAATAGCCAACACCCAAAGTTAAAGGTGAGAGTGTTTACTTAGTTCATAGCTTATAGAGGTTTCAGTCCATACCTGGCTGGCTCCAAAGCAGGGTGGCCCGTGGCAGGGGGGCGACAGTTCATGGTAGCAGAAGATAGCAAAAGCAACGAGAGAGGGACCTTAACAGTGTCTTCTGACCCTTTTTTCTTATTCAGACTACTTAGAGTGGGTGGCACCTTAATCTTAGTGTCCTTGGACCTGGCCCCTCCATGAATCAATCACACACTTTATTTAACTGCATAACGCTTTGGGGGGATATCCAGACCCAAACCATAACATATTGGTACCTTGCTTCATGAACTTAATCCATCTCATGGTTCTGGGGAAGGTGGTCATAGTCATGTTTATCACCTGACGAACAGAAGCAAATTTTTGCTGAACACTTCTGTTTGTGAACCAAATGTTTGCAAACTGAAGCATTTGTGAACCAAGGTATTACTGTATTGGAAGTAGGGCCATAATCAACTTCTGTCTCTCTATTCTCACATGTTTCCTATATATTTGTACAACAAAAATCTTGGGGAAGGGTCAAAGAGCAAATAAGAGGAAGGAAGCTAAATATGGAGGAGTGTACAGCGAGCGTTCAGGCCAAATGCTTTTGATGTTCTGCATACTATACTCCCCTCACGTTCTCCCTGCAATACTGACCTGAGAGTCATGGT